TGACTTCGGCCGCCGGGGTGACTTCGGCTGCGTTTTTGATTTTGTTTTGCAAACAAAAGCTGGGTCGTAAATGCCAGGGTCATGAACGCCAGGGTCGTAAACGAGGTCATAAACGCCGGAGTGACTTTTGTTATCGTTTATGACCCCGCTTTTGTTTGCCAAACAAAATAAAAAACGCGGCCGAAGTCACCCCGGCGGCCGAAGTCACCCCGGCAGCCGAAGTCACCCCGGCGGCCGAAGTCACCCCAGCGGCCGAAGTCACCCCGGCAGCCGAAGTCACCCCGGCGGCCGAAGTCACCCCAGTTGACGGTACCGTTAAATGCTATGTGCATCCCAATATGTACACTGATATTACCTATGCTTTATTAGCTAGACATTGCCTGCTGCCAGTTATGTAGTACAAAAGCTATGCTTTGTGTTCTATTTTATCTTGTAACGTAGTTATATTTACTGTAACTGTAGCGTTTCATCTCGTAACGTTTACTGTAACTGTAGCGTTTCATCTCGTAACGTTTTACTGTAACTGTAGCGTTTCACCTCGTAACGTTTTACTGTAACTGTAGCTTTTCATCTCGTAACGTTTACTGTAACTGTAGCGTTTCATCTCGTAACGTTTACTGTAACTGTAGCGTTTCATCTCGTAACGTTTTACTGTAACTTTAGCGTTTCATCTCGTAACGTTTTACTGTAACTGTAGCGCTTCATCTCGTAAGGTTTTACTGTAACTGTAGCGTTTCAACTCGTGAAGGTTTTACTGTAACTGTAGCGTTTCATCTCGTGAAGTTTTACTGTAACTGTAGCGTTTCTTCTCGTAACGTTTTACTGTAACTGTAGCGTTTCATCTCGTAACATTTTACTGTAACTGTAGCGCTTCATCTCGTAAGGTTTTACTGTAACTGTAGCGTTTCAACTCGTGAAGGTTTTACTGTAACTGTAGCGTTTCATCTCGTGAAGTTTTACTGTAACTGTAGCGTTTCTTCTCGTAACGTTTTACTGTAACTGTAGCGTTTCATCTCGTAACATTTTACTGTAACTGTAGCGCTTCATCTCGTAAGGTTTTACTGTAACTGTAGCGTTTCAACTCGTGAAGGTTTTACTGTAACTGTAACTATTTCCCCTCGATTACTTCATCAACTTTATAATATTTTTCGTCGATATTAACCCTTGGTTTTTAGGCAGGGTTTCCTTTGTTTCACGTATTTACTTTTCCACGAGACTAAAAAGTTTACAAGCACGCGACTTGATTCCCTATATAATATTCGTGTTGTATAATGTCTCCGTGTGTGCTTTGAACTTAAAGCGTAAAATAAAGTTTGGTGCTTTGAACTTACTCATTTATGAATACTTTTACGATTAAACTCTTATGTTAAGATAATTTTTTTAGAGATAAGAACGAATTTCAGTTTTAATTTGTTTGCTTGTACTGTCATTCCATACGTTCCTCAAGATTCTTTGCTTTATGTTTACGCTAGAAATTAACGTTAATTTTAATACTAAATTTGATATCTTCACTAAGAGGAATAAGCGGGAGTTTGTCCAAATATATATCCCATTGACTTTTGTGAGTGGCGGCCATTATTTCTTTAACTTCATTAAATATTATTCGAGCTTCATTGCCATGTTCATTTCATTCGCTTATGTTGCTTGCGATTTATTATTTCATTTGTGCAAAATTTAAATATATTTATATTATGTATTGAGCATCTGTTGTGCAAGTGCTCGATGATTGTATGATGACAATCTGTTGATTGTTTGATAGTGATTGGTTGCGCTCGATGATTGTTCGATCACAATCTGTTAATTGTTTAATAGTGATTTGTTTCGCTCGATGATTGTTTGATGCCAATCTGTTGATTGCTTGATGGTGATTGGTTGCGCTCAATGATTGTTCGATCACAATCTGTTGATTGTTTGATGGAGATTGGTTGCGCTTGATGATTGTTAGTTCTCGATGCTCGGCAACGCTCTGATCTCGTTTACATCTTGCCAAAGGATACTCGATATTCTCGGATAAATCTTTCTATAAAGGATGCTCCTATGATAGGAAATCTAGCGAAATGTTCTCAGTTTTGTTGCAAATACTTGAATTCCAAGACGATATCGTTCCAACAATGTTTAAATTGGAGCTTTTCTGTATCATTCAAGTTGAATAATTTTTCGTAAAATTTTCCACTTATCTGAATTTTGAGATGAAATGTTGAATTTGTCATTCAATTCTCAAGTGTCACAATGATAAGGATACAATCTGTATTACTCAATTATTAGGTTGCTGTTTAAGTCTCTTGACTGTTGAATTTGTCTTAACATACCCACAATAATTATGTTACAATGTAGATCTCTTTCTCGCTGAAAGTGTCCTAAAGTAATTAAAATAATTATGTCACAAATTAAAGATAATTTAACCGAGTTGACAGTTTTTTTTCGCGTGTTGCTGGATCGACAATCTATCTGTCCCGACACTTAATATGTGTTCACTTTGGTTATTAGTTTTAGATTCATATTGAACGCACCAGTAACTTCTTCAGTGTCACTGTTACTGAAACATCTTGTTAATGAAAGTTGTAGTGGCGTTAGTTCTAGTGACGTAGTCCATTCAGTGTCACTTACTGAAACATCTTGTTAATGAACGTTGTAGTGACGTTTGTTCTAGTGACGTGGTCCATTCAGTGTCAATGTTACTGAAACGTCTTGTTAATGAACGTTGTAGTGACGTTAGTTCTAGTGACGTGGCCCATTCAGTGTCACTGTTACTGAAACATCTTGTTAATGAACGTTGTAGTGACGTTATTTCTAGTGACGTGGCCCATTCAGTGTCACTGTTACTGAAGCATCTTGTTAATGAACGTTGTAGTTACGTTAGTTCTAGTGACGTGGCCCATTCAGTGTCACTGTTACTGAAACATCTTGTTAATGAACGTTGTAGTGACGTTCTAGTGACGTGGTCCAATATAAACCTGGCTTTCGGCTGAGCCAGTCAGTGGTCGGTCACTAATGGCCTATCGGACGTTCGTACATAGTCCATCTTAAGAACATCTGCTGCATTGTACGAGCATCGTTCTCATTCACTCCATTTTTCTAGTGTCATTATGCATTATTCAGTGTACCAGTACAATTCTCATGCATTATTCATTGTAACAGAAATGCCAAGCTGTTTCTCGTTCTTGTGTTGTAGGTGACTTTCTTCCAAATTTTGAATATGAATATTTCGAATAAATCGTATATTATTTATAAAATTACTAAACAATAAAATTATGTGTTAGAGTATTCACGCATAATAGGAATAGATGAATTAATGATGCAGTTTTGAGGTGAATCTCATTCATGGGTCATGCTTCCGTGGCACCAATTGGACATTAAAATACTCTGAAATTGTTAATTAATCGAGAATAGACTACTTATTTTTTGTAAAACATGTATAACATATACCCATGTGGCTTCTTTGTATATGATGGAACAATACGATTGTTATGAACAGTTTAACTACATTTTATGAGGGCTATTGCAAAGAGAACGTAAACGTGCAATGCGAGCGTTAAATTTCAATAAAAATGTAAAACGAGTTTTTCTTTTACTGCATTGAAAATATTATCATATAAGGTTTTTTTTTCATTTGTTTCGTTGTATTAGTTATTGCGAGCAGTATTGAAATGCTGAATTTAAAGTCATTACTGATAGTGTTTTTGATTTCAGTTCGTAAATAATGTCTGAAGCACAACAAAATTCACACGCGAGATACGGTAGGTATTTATGTGCCGCTTAACTCCTATGCTCTACTCATCTTCACTCCTCGCCTTTTTTGGGCGCTTAAAGTATACTCATGCGTCGAAATGAGTGACGTCTCTTCCTTCTGTCCAAGACATCCACGAGTGCTGTTAATTACCCAAAATTGACTTAATGCTCAGGGAACGTCTTAAAAATAAGTGGCAAATAGCAGAAAATTGAATAATGTCTCTTGAATTTCACTTAATGAACGAAGTTTTTTAAAGAATGCGCCTGCTCCGGAATGTAGCCAGATATAATAAGCACTTCAGGCTCGTCTGAATCTGAACTCGTTTCCCTAGCGCTCGCCTGAGAATATTATAGTTGTCGCGGTTCACTTGGACTCACATGCGTCGGGACAGAGACGCGAGAAAATCATGACCAGAGATCATTTTGGCCTGGCATCATGGCATGTCAGAGTGCAGTGAATGGTTCAGGGCTACTGGGTTCAGTGATGTGCTGTAATAATTCACAGTCGCAATTGACAGAGATGTCGATACAGTTTACAGTCACAATTAATGTAGACGTTGATACAGTTCATAGTCGCATTTAATGAAGACGTTGATACAGTTCACAGTCACTATCAATGAAGGCGTTGGTACAGTTCACAGTCACAATTAATGAATACGTTGATACGATTCACAGTCACTATCAGTGAAGGCGTTGATACAGTTCACAGTCACAATTAATGAAGACGTTGATACAGTTCACAGTCACAATTAATGAAGACGTTGATACAGTTCACAGTCACAATTAATGAAGACGTTGATACAGTTCACAGTCACAATAAATGAAGACGTTGATACAGTTCACAGTCACAATTAATGAAGAGATACAGTTCACAGTCACAATAAATGAAGACGTTGATACAGTTCACAGTCACAATTAATGAAGAGATACAGTTCACAGTCACAATCAATGAAGGCGTTGGTACAGTTCACAGTCACAATTAATGAAGGTGTTGATACAGTTCACAGTCGCGATTAATGAAGACGTTGTAATAGTTAACAGTCACAATTCTTCGTTATTATCTGCTGGGAATTTCCTTTGTGCTTGAATCCAGTATAGCTTTTTCACGATCTAGGAATCTTCCAGTGTAGTTAAAAGGACGGTAATTCGTTAGCTTCGAGAGCCGTGCAATTGGTTATGTGATGTTGAACGCAGTGTCAAGCAAGGATATTGTAGTAGCACAGCTATACGAGTTCGGAGTGCTTAAAATTTTATTAAAAATTTAAGGGGCACATTAGTATCCTAATGAAGTAGTTTTCTTTCACAGATTTGACTGTCTCTAACGACTCTACATTAGCGAAATAAGAAAAGCTACATTGGTGGCTAGGAAATTAAAAATTTTATCTAAACCTACTTACGTAACCACTCGACAGAAATCTACTGCCACTGAAACCTGTTCCATATGAGCTGGAACCTGTACCGTATGAGCTGCCGTATGAAGTTCCGTATCGACTGCCAGAAGAATCTCTGCCAAACCTGGTCCCAAACTTGGAGCTTGAGAGCTCGCTGCTGAGGCGGGTAGAGTTGCTACGAGCGAGGGAAGAACTCGGTGTTGTAGACACGCCTGAGTCGCGCCTCAGGTATGACGGTAGAGTTGACGTTATAGTTGCAGAAGAGCGCCTATAGAGCGAAGATCCCGTGTCGTTAGAATTGGTCAGCGCTGAAGAACCGGTGTCTCTCGAAGACGATGAATCTCGACCGTACTTGGAATAAGAAGCGTTAGTAGTGTCTGTGTTGATATGTGAACCTGCTGCATCTTTTGACGAAGAATCACCTCGCCCGTATCGCGAGTACGAAGAATCCTGGCCAATTCTCGATGTTGTTGTTGCCGAGTCCCGTCCGAATCTTGAAACAACTGAGGGCGTGGATCTGTTAGCGAATCTGCTGATCGCAGTCGACGTGTCGTTGGTTGTGGCATCGTTTGTTATCGCAGTAGCTCGAGTGCGGGTCCACGGACGTGCTGTGGGTCGTGACAATCTTTCCCCAAATGGAGAGTCTGGTGGGTTAGCGGCTGCTGGTTTAGGTCGCAAGAAGCTCGGTGTTTCAGTGAGGCGGTTCTCCGTTGCTGGAGATCGTTGTCTGAGGAACGATGGGGTCGAGTCGCTCTTTTCAGGCGTTTTCGGAGCTTCTTTGACTTCTGGAGTTTTCTCTTTAGCTGCCCAGCGGCTGGGTTTAAGATCGGTGGCAATTGACATGGCAGGATGTTGCCATCTGAGGTAAGTGCCTCCCGCTTCCCGGCGTCTAGCCAAATTCGAAGTTTCCACCGGAGTTTCGTTTTCTTCTATATTCCTTCTTCTAGTCACAGTTTTTGTTACCTCTTCTGGCGCTTTGCTAACTTCTTCTGGCTCCACGACGGGTCGTCTACGCCGGATGTTGATTTCTTCCACTTTCGATGGTGGGGAGTCGTCAACTACGTACAAAAGATCGGTGATCATCCCTTGCTTGGTGTCCATTTCTCTCGAGTCAGGTTCAGTTTTGGGGTCCACAGCAGCTTTCAGAAAATAAAATTTGGCATCTTCTGTTTCTATGAAAGGCTGACCATCTTTGCCTCCCCACAGCTCTACTTCCGTGCTTCCAGAGGTCATCCTCGTGACTCGCACCAAGACCTGGAAAAAGTTCATCGACATTCATTAAATTCCATAGAAAAGTACAATAAAATTATAACGGTGATTGACTCCTTGGTCTCTCATAACCGTGATTGGCCCCCTGTTACCTCATAACTGTGATTGGCCTCCTAGTACCCCATAACCGTGATTGGCTCCCTGTTACCTGATAACCGTGATTGGCCCCCTCTTACCTTATAACTGTGATTGGCTTCCAGTCTAGCAGGCTCCGAGAACATAAGGTGTAAGTTAGCAGATCGCATCGTCTCCCAGCTCACGCGGCAATACGTCTACGAACAAGAGAATTCGTGCAAAATTAATTTTGTTAGTATCATCATTGTCGTAAATTTTATCTTTAATTTTTATCAAACATGAACGTCATTTACTCATGCAATTAATACAATTTCAATATCGAATTTCCTACAGATCAACGCAGGGAAATGCAGTATAGTTGTGTCGGCAGTGACGAATAGCCTAAGTCTAGCAACTTAGCCGTAATACTTTACTAAAAATTTTCATATTTAACAGTGCACAGGATCATATACCTTCGAGTTTATGGATTTTTATTTTAAACATTTTGTTGCTAATTCGTTATTTATTTCTTACTTGAACCATATCAGTAATCTATTAGTTACCTGAACCATATTCGTTATTTATTAGTTACCTGCACCATATTAGTTACCTGCACCATATTAGTTACCTGCACCATATTAGTTACCTGCACCATATTCGTTATTTGTTAGTTACCTGCACCATATTAGTTATCTACACCATATTAGTTACCTAACCATATTCGTCATTTATTAGTTACCTGCACCATATTAGTTACCTGCACCATATTAGTTACCTGCACCATATTAGTTACCTGCACCATATTAGTTACCTGCACCATATTAGTTACCTGAACCATACTCGTTATTTATTAGTTACCTGAACCATATTCGTTATTTATTAGTTACCTGAACCATATTCGTTATTTATTAGTTACCTGAACCATATTCGTTATTCATCAGTTACCTGCACCATATCAGTTACCTGGACCATATTAGTTACCTGAACCATATCAGTTACCTGAACCATATTAGTTACCTGGGGCCATACTTTCAAAACCCCCTAAGTGAACGTAAGTACTTACGCTCTATTTTCTTGTCTATGATTGGTGGATTTTGCTTGAAAGGCCGTCAATGATTGGCTGATGAACTTACGATCTCTTAACTTTTTTTAAAGTATTGGCCCTGGACCATATCAGTTACCTGCACCATATCAGTTACCTGCACCACATCAGTTACCTGCACCACATCAGTTACCTGGACCATATCAGTTTCCTGCACCATATCAGTTACCTGCACCATATCAGTTACCTGGACCATATCCGTTATCTATTTGTTACCTGAACCATATTCGTTATCAATTAGTTACCTGCACCATATTCGTTATCAATTAGTTACCTGCACCATATCCGTTATCTATTAGTTACCTGAACCATATCTGTTATTTACTTGCTACCTCAACCATATTAATTATTCATCAGTTACCTGGACCATATTAGTTACCTGCACCATATTAATTATTCATTAGTTACCTGGACCATATTAGTTACCTGAACCATATTCATTATTCATTTATTACCTGGACCATATCCGTCCACTGTACACGCTCCCAGGGCCCCTGGCAGTGCACGGTGACGCCCATGTCGGTGTTGCTGAAGAGGAAGCCAAAGCCCACGCCCAGCAGTCTGATGTTCTTGTCCACTCTGAAGCGTAGCTCGTGCTCCTGGTAGATCTGCACACGTTTAAAATATACATATTAATATATTAAACTTATATTATAATGTATTAAAATTCAAAAAGTATTAAAAGTATTAAAAAAAAGTATTAAAAATTCAAAATGCACGCGATTCAAATATACATATTAATATATTATACTTATATATTAATATGTTCAAAAGTATTAAAATATATATATTTAATATATTAAACTTGTATATTTAGGGTAGACCGCGACAAGCTGTGAATATTCTGCTATGTTAAGAATCTGCGACAGGCCTACGGCCTAATAAACGCTGAAACCGCTACATGTTATATATTTGAACATGTTTGGTTAAAAATAATGATAGTTTTATTGAAGATTTCTTTTGAGTTTAATCTCTTTCTGGTACTTACTTGTATTATAAGCTTGAGAGATTAAACTCAAAAGAAGTCCTCAATAAAACTGGCATTATTTTTAACCAAACATATATTAAACTTATATATTAAAATGTTAAAAAGTATATGTGATAAATATTACGATATTTTAAAGCATTATTTAATATATGTTAAAGTATCCATATTCTATTCATATGATGCGTCATAGTCATCATATTTCCATGTATACACAAAGAGAAACGAGTAAGTCATTGTCGGAATAGCGATGTACTTTTTTGCTCTTGTATGGTTCATTCTGACCCAGGCAGCCTACTTTGAAATGAATTTTTTCTTTTCACAATATAATTCTAATTACTTTCTATAATATATATCATGTTTTCCTATGATAGTATGGCCTGTTTCTGAACTGCATCAATGTTTTAGGTTTGATGCACGAAATCTCTGTACGTTGTGATATCACTAATTTACTATGGTAGAGGTACGTACAACTATCTAATATGAGAATATTATGAAACCATGTATAAAAATATATTTTGTTACAAATTATACATGGAGCCGTGTCTGTATTGCAGGTTACGGAGGCTGCACCGTAAGAATTTAAAAAGCTCGGTAGTTTGTGCACAAATATTCTCCGATTTTTTATTCCGAAGTTAATGAGCTTTGGTCATTAGTGCTACTTTTACCTCTTTGTGTTTTAATCATTATTGTTTACCAGTTGCGTTTTAATTATTATCACTTACCTCGTTGCGTTCTAATCATTATTTTTCACCTCGTTGCGTTTTAATAATTAATATTGATTTTACTTCTTTCAGTATTAATCATTATTGTTTACCTCTTTGTGTTTTAATCACTATTGTTTACCTGGTCGCGTATAAATCATTAATGTCAAGTTTACCTCTTTAGGCGGGAGCTTGAAGCCTTTCTTGCAGCGACGAGCAGTTTGGAAGCTGTCGACGTGACCATTTTGTAGCATGCTACCGTCCTACGGGACGAATAGTTGTTTATTATATAGAATAGTTTATTATTTAGCGTAAATGGAAAATAATTTTTAAATAATAATATTTTCCTGCATATATAATTTTAAAGCATCATTACTGGATGAGCAGCTCGTAAAAATGCAAGACGACATTCGTAATCCTACATTTTCGAACATGTGAAATACACTTTTTCAATCAATAAATCCTTATCAGTATTTTTTTGTCAGGATTGTAACAAGAAAATCAATTAATCCAGTTTTATTACTAATTTATATTATCAATTTATTTCATAATCAATCAATTATGATTTATTATTAATTACTGAAACTGTAATTAATGTAATAACTGTAATTACTGCAATTACTTAAACTGCTAATTACTTTTTTTCAGCGAACGTTAGCTTGACTTGCCTGCTTGCCAAAGGCGTTGTCACGGGGCACTTCCATGCCGCGGTTCATGAAGAAAGAAATGATGTCAGCTCGACCCAGACACTCGGACGGAAGAATGGTGCCCATGAAGTCTTTGTCTTGGATATCGTCGAAATTTACATGGGCGAGCAAATCCTCGATGATGGGATGTAGTTGCGAAGGATTCAAACCTTTCAGCAGGATCTGATTCATACCCCAGTCTCTGATGGCCTCGAACAATCCCAGTTGGTTTTCATATTTGAATCTCGGATCGCCTATGAGTTTCCGAATGGTTTTTTCATCCATTCTAAGAAAGCCCTGGCAAGGTATTAGTTCATTCGCAAACTTGATGACGATACCGAGGCATTTTTCGAAAAGTTCTGCCGAGTGCGCTTCGGACAAAACCAGAAGGTCGAAAATCTCATTTTTCTTCTGGTCGTCATTGGGAGCGTAGTCGTCTAGAAAACTCTCAATGTACTTGATGGTTTGCGCGTTCATTTTCTTCAGATTCCATTTCTTGCCAGCTTTTAGTAGAGCGAACGCATCTACTACAGAGTTGACGCTCACTTCGTCGGTATATATGTACCTGAAATGGAAAAAATATAACTCAGTAAAAAATAGTACTCAGTACAGTAGAACGCGTTTAATTCTCGTCGACGAAAACGTGAAGTCACGGACGGACGGACGGACGGACGGACATGGCGCGCGCACAATAGTGAATTTTTTCCATAAATGAAAAAATTAGCTAAAAATGCGTCATTGAATTAAAAAAAAAATGTTGAAATTTCAAAAGACATTGTGAACCGAATGATGAAATGAAAGAATGATAACGCGCAACTATTACAAGATAGATGTATGGTTCACGGTCGTAAGGATGATTAGCAAGTTATTTCATTAAATTATTCTCAGTTTGTCAAACGGTCATTTTTAGCGGAAGAATTTTATGTGCAAAACAAAGCTTCTTCGGTTTGCTCTTATTTTGAGGAAATTTCTTCCATTTTGAGCTTCTGAATCTCATTCCCAAAATCCCTTTTAACTTTTAAGAGCGGCTCCTATGCTTTTTTTTTGAAGTCACGTGTACTAGATGCACTAGATTAAAACTATTCAAGGAGATTTTTTCTAAATTATCTTCATAAAGACAACTGCTATATAAGGGCTGAAATCTCGTTCACTCCTCCCAAAAGACCAATATATTTCTGCAAAAAGAAAAAATATAACTCAGTACTCACTGCAGTGAGTGACAGAGAGCGCATTTTCTCGTCGACGAAAACTTGAGGTCACGGACGGACGGATGGACGGACGGACAGACAGACAGACGGATATGGCGAGCACAATAGTGCAATTTTTTCCATAAATGAGAAAATGCGCTAAAAAGAAATAAATAAGAAATGCAGAACGGACTTCAAGTGCCCCTCCTTAACTATGTCGGATTGCATAGCTGCAATTGCATCCAAACTCTGTGCATCTATAAGTTTTTAAATTATGCAGCCTGACAAGGGTTACCTGTTTAGCGTCCAGCTGTATACACATATATGCCGCCTGTCAAAATGGCGTTTTTTGTTCATGTATAAGGCTCATTCGTTCAATTGAACAAATACATCGCCTATAATTTTATGCTGCGCTATGAAAAGGTGGAAATGTATATCGCTTGTCAAGTAATGTTTCAATCAATAAGATTCAGCAATGTGGCATGGATACCATCTGTTATTTTACACCTAAGGAAATTTGTAGCTATAGGGTAAAGCCTTATTTTAGCCTAATTTAGTCCGTTTAGTAAATTGAATTGGGTAAATTTAGTCTGATTAGTAAATTGAATTGGGTAAATTTAGTCTGTTTAGTAAATTGAATTGGGTAAATTTAGTCCGTTTAGTAAATTGAATTGGTTAAATTTAGTCTGTTTAGTAAATTGAATTGGTTAAATTTAGTCGGTTTAGTAAATTGAATTGTGTAAATTTAGTCTGTTTTTTGAGCCAAAGACTGACTTGAGGACGTTCTTGAAGGCCTTGGGTTCGATGTCGGTGATACGGAACGTGTTAAGGTCCGCCGTTTAGTAAATTGAATTGGGTAAATTTAGTCTGTTTAATAAATTTAATTGGGTAAATTTAGCCTGTTTAGTGATCCCAAGACTGACTTGAAGACGTTCTTGAAGGCCTTGGGTTCGATGTCAGTGATACGGAACGTGTTAAGGTCCGCCGTTTAGTAAATTGAATTGGGTAAATTTAGTCTTTAGTAAATTGAATTGGGTAAATTTAGCCTGTTTTGTGAGCCCAAGACTGACTTGAGGACGTTCTTGAAGGCCTTGGGTTCGATGTCGGTGATACGGAACGTGTTGAGGTCTGCATGGCCGTGCTGTACCGTCGACACGAGCCTGTACAGCGGCTGGCTCGCTGTCGCCAGCAGCAGCCGATGAGCCTGCGGAATAACTCTACATTAACCCAGGAAAAATTTACAGACGCGTCAGCTTCTGATTTGGATTACCAGACGCTGGGGCGACTCTAAGTTTGTTAGGGAACCCGTGCAGGATGGCTCAAGTACAGTTAAACGTAAGCTTAATACGATTATGATCATGCTGGATTTCATAGGTACAATAGAACCTAATCTCAGTACGATTATGGTGTTGGAAAATTATGCGGTCGGACAAGGGGTAAACGTTTAGGCATTTCAAATGATATGCACTGTGCGTTACTAACGCAATAAGTGTATTTGCGGTCATTCATAAAATGTCTTAAATTCTCAGAGTCAAATTTTTTGAGAGATTTTTATGGGGGGCGTTTTATATGACCGTTTTAGGACTTAGGACCGATGACCTAGACTCCTAGAGTGTCTAGGTAGGAATTTGGGAGTGGCGGCTATACGTTCAACCCAACCTTTATCCTATTAATTAATCTCACCGGTACTAAGACAAGTCGTTTACGCAACCATGTGTATATATTGTCTTCCGGAGTGAAAACTGGTCACTCCAGCAGTATAGTTGCACAACGTAAGCACTGTTTTATTTCTCGCTTCCTTCTACACTAAGATTAAAAAAAATGAATTATATCGTTCCAAAAGTGTACTTGTATAACGTTGACGTTGTGGGTTGTGATGACTCCACACAATCGGTTCGTTGCAAGTAAAATAATCAAGGAAAGTTCAACGTTTATTTCAACCGGGTAAATTGATCAGCATGGCGAATAAATTTTTAAATTCAGAGTTAAATGTAATTCGATGTTGATAAAAAAGATGAGTTTTTCCAACTGCTGAATCCTAATGAATTTGATAGAATTAGGTTTCAGAACATGCGACGCGAATGAGGTCAATCCAGAAGCTATAGGGTTCGGCTTTGCTTACTCGTAGATTCATGGAAATTATGACGCAAACGTGACGTAAAAATATAACAGCAGACCATTTAGATTGTGAACGCAATGGCAGGAAAAGCAAATCAATTTATATTGTAGACAGTTCCCATTATCTGGGTAGAAAAAATACAGATGTTCATAAATTAAATAAAGCGAGTAAAAAATATATTACCAACTTGAGGTTTTATGACCCTGTGTTAGGTCACCATTTGCAAGAAGTACAATTTAAGGAAATTAGCGGAAAACAGTAGGATGGGTGGGATTTTATAGGATGGAAAAATAGAAAGAATAGCAGGATTTTAGGATTTCGAAACGAAGTAATAGACTAAAAATTAGGTGTGAAGCAAGTGATGCTAGCAAGCACAGAAATGAGTTGCAGCGCTGTAAATGAAAAAAATACACAATTATTTTGGAAAATAAGTCATGACAAATGTCTAGATAATAAATAAGCAAGGTAAGATTTGAATTTGAACGAAATTTCATTGAACATTCAAGCCTAAAGCTATATCCAAGTTCCAATAGATGTACCGTCAATTACACATAAGACGATCGCCACTGACCGGGGGCCATTCAAAACTGGCTAAGTGAACATAAGTACTTACGCTCAATTTTCTTGTCTATGATTGGTGGATTTTGCTTGAAAGGCCGTCAATGATTGGCTGATGAACTTACGATCTCTTAACTTTTTTTAAAGTATAGGCCCGGATCCTGCACAGGCCTCGCCGCTCGTCACAAAAAGTATATATTAAACGCCAAAAAAGTATAAATTACATGCCAAAACTGCCACTTCTAGAGTTCGATAACCACACGATGACTAGGACGCACTTTTGTTCGCGCTAGAAAGATGTGGTTCAGTTTTGTTCATAAAACGGATCGTTTCTATTGAAGGCTGGAAGGCTTAGTTAATGTGACGACGTTTTGAGCATTGGCGGTATGGAAACAACTTTAAAAATATCTACATACTTAGATCATGGCGCAATGAACAGTGAGGCAATTAACAGTTGCTTCTCTGTATAGGTGTTGAGGTAAACTCAAAACAGATGCTCTGGGTTGCTTGACTTTAGAATAACTTTACTCGAAGAGTTGATCAACTTGCAGATTTGGAATAAGAAATCACTGATCACAACTTAAGTTCTGTAACGAGATTGAAATAAGACTGCAGCCACCAAAATGGCCGATTGGAGACTACAGACCCCTGACTCTGAATACCCACTTATTCTACAAATGAAACCAGAAAAGTGGAATTAATGAAGGTACCTTAAGTTCGATAGACAAATTTACGATGAGGAATGATGATTTTTCACAAGGTAGCAAGTGCTAAACATCTAGTGTTTAAGGTCGATTCTGGATTGAAATCTATATACTTGTAAAACGCAAAATTAATTTTTTCTTAGATAAGTTTCAATTGTAGAAACCCATTTTAATTGCATTCGAGCTTTTTGGTCATTGAAATAAGTCTGTATAAGGTAATGAATTCCTTTTATTTGAACTGAAACTTTCTTTACATCGCTACCTCCTCGATTTACTCGCACGTTTATTTTTCCAGTGAAAACGCACACTTATACATTTTTATGAGAGGTGTATATTTATATGAATTGTAATTATACATTTATTTTTTATTTAAAAAATATATGAATTATTTTTGCTTTTAAATTCCTAGTTAACTTGCGATTTAAGCAAACAAGTGATTTTAATACATTTATTTTTCTGATAGTTGTACAAAAAATTAAGTACACTTACACTGCAAAGCTCTACTAATTTTTAACCACTGGTATGAGTCACACCACGTGAGGCCTCTTGGTGCTTGAATCTCATTTTAAACCAGGCCTCCTAGAATAAACTCGCTCGTTCTGGCCTGTCAAGTGCATTCAACCTCGAGTATGTCTCGTCATAACGTTTCTATGACTGATTGTCATGCAGCAGACATGAGCAGACGTGTTCTTTGTTTTACTACACTAACATAACACCTTTGATGTGACAAGCCACACGAGGATTTTCTTTTTTTACGGGGAAGGTTTTTATGTGTGTGCGTTATGCCCGGTTACTGCATCTAAATTTTTAGATAGTGGAAATTGAACGTGAAGCTACTTTTTTCTAACTGTGTAAGGGAAAGGAATGATATAACAGATATTACCTTGATATGTAAGCATTTTACATCTATTAGTATGCACATGATAGAATGAGTATCAGCTATCATCTTCAATTTAATGATCGACGCCTAATTTTCATATTTACTTTCTTAATGGCAGTATAATATCATCATGATTGCAATTGCATATGTGATGCTACCACGAGTAACTGCTACCAGAACGCATAACTGCTGCCACCAGAGCTAATTCTCCCGAGATATAATGCGATGGACAATTTTTTTAAACGTTCTGTTTAGCTCCAAGCTAATTCAAGATTACTGTTCAATGTGCCGTACTAGATAAGTTTGATTATATACGACTTTTATAATTAATGGACTTTTATAAATAACGGAAAATATGAAAAGCTGTAGCATGCAAGTCATGTTTTCAACAGATCATGTCATCAGTAGAGAATCACTTCAGCACATCATGACAACCATACAAGATGTCATCAACAGAATGTCATCCATGTGTACCGTATCACGAACAAATCTACACATGATGTCAACGAACATATATGGCACCGAACATATATGACACCGAACATATATGACACCGAAAATATATGGCACCGAACATATATGACACCGAACATATATGACACCGAACATATATGGCACCGAACATATATGGCACCGAACTTATATGGCACCGAACATATATGGCACCGAACATATATGGCACCGAACATATATGACAACGAACATATATGTCAAGTCTCTTATATAGATGACCTGACCTACATGGCCTGGCATATATAGGTAAGGTTATCTATATAACCAAGAGAGCCATACAATAGACAGCGCAGGTGGCAGCTATAAATACCGTGACAGTCCGTGTGCCCCCACCAACTATGGCGACTGCGACCTATCTACAAAAATTGTGTGATGAAGTTGTTATATCATCTACAATAATTGTACGATGAGGTTGTAATATCATCTAGAATAATTGTACGAGGCTGTTATACCATCTACAATAACCGTATAAAGAAACTGTTATATCATTGACAAAAACAGTACGAGGCTGTTATATAATCTTAAAAACCTTCATATGAGGCTTTTATTTCTTCTACAATAATCGTATAATGAGACTGTAATAGCATCTACAATAACCGTAGCTGTTATGCCATATCATGAGGCTGGAATACCATTTGCAATAGCCGTACAATCAGGCTGTTATGCCATTAGCAATAACCGTAATACCATCTACAAGCAATTTACAATAATAACTACGATGTAATTTGTTGCGTTTTGTATCAGGCTTATTGACTGAAACGCGTCTTGAATTTAAGGAAAAGGCCAAGTGTAACTTGGTAGCTGCATACTAAACTAAAAAAATGTTCAATAAAAGTGGATTTGCATGGGACAAATTAAAAAAATATATATCGTGTTTCTACTGTTAATTTTTACCTTAGTATTCATGCACATTATGTAATTATGTCTACTTATTTATTCACTTTTATTCACTATTTTACTGTCTCGTTTCAATTGTTTTATAAAGGACCATATATTATTTATTTATTAATGGAAACAGTGTAGCACCATCTATTATGAATCGGAAAAGTCTTTCTCTCTCGCCTTTTCGTCATTCCCACCGTTTGAGATATTTCAAGTGCCAAGCAGTCACAGATCAAATTAAATAAATAACAGATGGAATTTCATGGAAAGAAAACATTGTACCACCAAAAATTGAAATCGAAATTTATTTTATTGCATTTTACCCGAATCTCTGTGCCTTCAACGAACATTTTTCATTCAAATACGGGTCATGATTTTCGGCAAAAACACTGATTTCTTGCCAGGCGAACAGGCATTATACGAAATGCACGAAGAATTGCTGTAACGATGAAAACGCGGCGTAGAGTATAATTTGTTAAAAAAAATGTTGATTACGAATAATAAAAAAGTCTGTGGGCACTTATACCGAGAGTTTTGTACATTTTCAGTTTCGAATTTTGATCAATTTATTGGAAATCTTATTTCAACTATTGGATTTATATCATAACTGGAGCAGTGAGTTGCGGGTTCGATCCCAGCTTCCTGTAACTGTTTCGGACAAAGTCTGCGAAGTGGCTGTGTATTTTTGAGAATACCTAGCAAGATTGGAGCTGCGAGTTGCGTGTTCGAAACCCCAGCAAGTTACATGAATTCTGCAATATCTAATATCGATGACAGGATAGATTTAGGGTAATCAACACTGACACCACTATTACTTAATTAATGGAAATGTACAGTTGTACACTACTATGACTAGGCTAAGTACTGTACACTACTCGAACTTGACTGACCAACTATAACTATGATACTGCATGTGAAACCCGGCCAGAACAAACCCAGGGTTCACATTTTGGCCTATTTTCGGACAAATTCAACGGTTTGGTTTCTATTTAATTGCATTGAACGGCATAAATTTATGATGGCGGCAGGCATAATAACTTAAACAACTTCAATCCCGAAAACCTCACCTTAAAAGTTGTATAGTCCGAGCCTTGCCCCACTCTGATGGTGACGTCCGCAAACTGACCGGTGTCCAGCAGGGTTGCCAACCTCTCGGTCACAGTCAGATCACCGTGAGCCGACAGCTGACATTCTGACGCACAAGCAGGAGCTGTTATTAATTAATTAATTTGACATCTAGAAAATTTATTTTCTTGAACAAAGAACTGGATATTTTTAGTCTTTGATTCGGAAATACTCAACCAAGATACTACACCAGTGTCATTGCACAAAAGTTTAGTAGGTACCAACGTACTCGTACCCCAAAATCGGCACATTTGTTCCGAATTTCGGTACTGAGTCCGTTGGCGAGTTCGCGGGGGAGTTCGGAACAGAATCGATTGCGTTTTTACGTTTTAATTAAAGCAAAGGCATGTAAAAAAGTTTTGAATTTTGAGCAGTGATATTGTTAAGTTTTATTTTAAATTTCCCCAAAATCAGTCAAGAATTGAGGTTGTTTTGCCTTGGCAATTACGTAAAATGTTCCACCCAAATGTCGACCCTAAATATTCGACGCTTCTCCGGCCTCACCCTTGAACTCGCCTGCGAACTCGAACGGAAAACGAAATTTCTGCACAAGAGTGAACGGATCTGGTTTAAATACAGAATATAAGTGAACATTAACAATTAGCAGAGAGAGAAATTATTACAGATTATAGCGTTAATTTTTCCTAATTAAAACGAAAAAATACAACTTTTGCGCAACCGAACTAATCAGAAGTCCTTTAATTCTGATAGAATTTGCGTGAAATTTAGAATATAACCAATTATTGGCAATGTGCCGAGAAATGAATTAATACAGATTTTTATGTATGGTTCAAACTATATATATTTTTTTCAAAATGAATAGCATTCAATGTACCGATAAGAAATAATAATAAGTATTTTTCGACTATGTTCAGCTCATATTTTTTCCTAAAAAATTAATTAGTTTCAAGAAAATTATCAAGAGGCGAACACTTATTCAATTGATTTAATTGAAAAATCTATGCATATAAAAACGCAACTCTCAAATAAACTCAATCCACTCATAAACGAAACGGTCATAATTCAATTTCACATTCACACCAACGAAACAAACAAACGAAACGAAATAAACAAACAGACATGAAAAAATCTATAGCATTGACTACTCTGGTCATGCAAAATTAAAATCCATCCACTAGCATTAATAAGTCTTCAAGAAGGATAACAATTAGGCCCGAAAAACAAACCGCATAAAATTATTTTTAAATTACAGAGCCGTTAAAGAATATTCAGCAAATTTAGACTTGAAGCACATTTTACACGCACTTGTTTGAACAATAATACAATATTTTATCAAAAAATTCAATTCTTTTCACTTTGAAGTTATTGATAATTTCTAGAAGTTTGGCTCTGCGAAAAAGTTTTAGTTATCAATTCACGACCGGCAACAAAAAAAAAAGTATAAGTCCTATACTTTTATATAGTCTATACTATATATATACTATAGTTTTTATATAAAGTATAGTCCATTCAACCTAAACTCCTTCTAATTATTAACTAATGGTTATTTGGCAATTAATTGACACAAAAAATTCATTGCGTCCAGTACTGAAAAATTGGCAATAAGAAGTTGACTTTATAAATGATCAGCATTTATTATTAAATAATGATGAATAAATAATTGCTATTGCTATTTGTCAGCAACAAGAGTATGAAAATATCCTGAAAAAATTGTGAAGTCACTGTATGATTGTTATTTACTTATATGAAGAAATTCCAAATATTTTCTTCTTATAGGGTAATTTTTGATGTTAAGTTTATTTATTATTATTATTAAGTTATTACGGGTAAGTTTAACTGAAAGTTAAAATTAATGGTGATAATTTCATTCACAAATTTCTAATATTCATCACGACTAAGATTATAAATCAAAATTTTGGCTTGTATTAATCAATGAGCTGGTTCACCTATTTTTTGCAGTAAATTTTTATGTACAAAAATCTCTGTGTCACAAAAAATCTATCTTTAATATTAATAAACGTCCTATAACAAAAATTACATGAAGATTTCTAGAAAGGAATTTAAGTGTTAATTATTTAGTTCTGACACCCCACGCTTATGTGATAGGTTAAACATTATGTTGTGCGTTAACATGAGGACATGTTAACATGTGTTATCAACCGCTACATCGTTAAGCAAAGTAAATTTTAAAGATACATTGTTAAAATTTGCTTCTCAAGTGAACACAATTAAATTTTTAGCGAAATACAATTAATTATCTCGAGCAAATCATTTTAATATAACAATGCATAATAAATGGTGTCCTAAACCTTTGTAAAAGCCTTTCCTTATAACTTTGAATGCACAGTGAGCTTAAAAATAAAATCATCGAAATTGGAAATATTATTTCATGTTATACTGTATTTTTATTATTTTTATGTATCTTATATGCAGTAGGGTGTCAGGAGCGACATGCATTCTTCAATTGGCCTCCCTCCTCTTCAGGAAATAATGAAAATGTAGTGCCAGAAGGTCATTTATCCTTAGAATATATTGTCTAAGGAATTGTGATGCATGACACTATGCGCAGGCTGAAATTTCAACGGAAAATTTCTTGTCAAATGTCAGTTTCTGTCCAAAAAATTTAATGAAACTCGACACTGCATTAATAATCATCTCCTGACAGGAAGCCAGATGTTGAATGTCTTCATTCAGAGAAATAAGGGATAATTGTCCAAATATTGATGCACCTTTTTTTGTTTTATTGGTCATCTTGGCCCAATTCGGCCCGGATTCAAGGCGTAACAGTGCTACCTGCAAGAAATTTTGTCACTATTTGGACAATCAACCCATTAATTTTTCTGAATGTTCTTTAAAAAGGATATCTACCCGATAACCAGTCGAGGTCTCTTAGAGGGGTGGAAGGCTCGCCCAAATCCATGCTCAGGGGCCGAGGACTAAAGACACTCGAGCTTTCACTCGGGGACCTTGAAGCTCGTAAAAATTCTGGGTTTGGGATAGACCAAGGCGGTCCTGTACCACGAACTGCAGCTCGCGTCGACCACGTCGCCATAACGCAGGTCTTCAAACTTCAGCTCCGACGATCTGGTTATGGTGTTTAAGTTGTAAGTTCTGCGCTACGAGGATGATTAAAAGCTGTTGAGTTGTGACTTTAACCCCTCCGGCCCGAATATAGTGTTTGGGTTATAACTTGAGTCCTACAAGTCCGGATAATATGTTTGAGTAGTAACGTTAGACCTACGGGTCATAATATGAAGTTTGAGTTGTAACTTTAGCCCTACGAGTTCAATTAAGGTGTTTGAGTTGCAACTTTAGACCTACGGGTGAAAATATGAAGTTGGAGTTGTAACTTTAGCCCCTACGGTTAAAAATATGAAGTTGGAGTTGTAACTTTAGCCCCTACGGGTTAAAATTTGAAGTTGGAGTTGTAACTTTAGCCCCTACGAGTTCAATTAAGGTGTTTGAGTTGTAACTTTAGCCCTACGGTTAAAAATATGAAGTTGGAGTTGTAACTTTAGCCCTACGAGGTCAATTAAGGTGTTTTAGTTGTAACTTTTGCCCTACGGTTTAAAATTTGAAGTTGGAGTTGTAACTTTAGCCCCTACGAGTTAAATTAAGGTGTTTGAGTTGGAACTTTAGCCCTACGGGTTAAAATATGATGTTGGAGTTGTAACTTCAGCACTAGGAGTTTAATTAAGGTGTTTGGGTTGTAACTTTAGCCCTACGGGTCAAAATATGAAGTTTGAGTTTTAACTTAGGACCTACGAGTTCAATTAATGTGTTTGTGTTGAATATTTTGCCTCGTGATAACGAATTCGGGGTATGAGTTACAAATATCTAGCTTTCTCAATTAACCGAGTTTGTGTCTGACTTGAAATAGTGTAGTGTATTTCTGGTCGGGTGTGATGGTAGAGTTGTAGCCGGTCTAAATATTATAACTTTTTATTATGTATGATTTTCCAGTATACAAGTAAATTGTGTATCACTATAATAATATTTTGGCCCAGTTATCGGATATGGAATATTTTCTTCTATTTGACTCTAATTTAAAACAATAAATAATTAACTGCTTTAATTCTATTTGTATATTTATGTTGTGAAGAAATGGTTTGACGGAAGAAGGGCGCGTCGAAACTTTGAAGGATGTGCATCGACGAACCTGAAATAAAAAATGAGACCTTCGGTGAATTAAACTTTAATTTTATGGTCATTTTCAGTGTTATGACCCTTAATAATATATGAACCATAATTCATGGAAAAAATCGGAAAAATTTACTTTAATTCATTGGTAAATCACTCATTCAATTACAACGGTTTTGATGTACATATGTCATCGATCTGTTTCTGATTGCAAATAAATATTGTAAATGCATGTACGCAGTTCACACAGCATGTTTAGAAATACACTGTTCTCTTTATGAATTTCCATATGAGTCTGATTTTTGAGTTTATTGTAAATTTAGTGCAATATCAAATTAATCTAGTCAAACGTAATATTGAATTTTTAATCAAACTGTTGTTGCGTAGCTGATGTTAGAAAGAATTTCTACAGTTCAAAAACTCTTAAAAATCTGTGAGAAATTGAAGCAATTTTTAGCGTATTTTCTCATTTATGGAAAAAATGCACTATTGTGCTCGCCATGTCCGTCTGTCTGTCCATCCGTCCGTGACCTCAAGTTTTCGTCGACGAGAAAACGCGTCTGAGTTAAAGTTAAATTTTTCTTCTGAGTTAAATTTTTTACTATTTGTCTAGCCGTTTTCTAGCGCAACGTCAACAACAACATTTGTGAACATAAAATGTGTTAAAGCAGGTGGCGCCCAAGGTCTGATAGCTGCACTATACGGGAAAAATGTGTAGCAGCACAATACAAGAAAAATGTGTTGTTGCAGAATATATGAAAAAATGTGTATGTAGTTGCAGAATACAGGAAAAATGTGTAGCAGCACAATGCAGGAAAAATGTGTAGCTACACAATACAGATAAAATTTGTTGCCGTGTAGCTGTACAATATCGGGAAAATATGTAGCTGCACAATATGGGGAAAATGTGTAGCTGCAAAATACAGATAAAATGATTTGCTGCAGAATGCAGGAAAATATGTAGCTGCACAATACAGAAAAAATGTGTAGCTGCACAATATAGAAAAAATGTGTAGTTGAAAAATACAGAAAATAATTTCCACACAATTAAGCTGCCAGAATAGTGAGTTCATACATTCGTTCTGTGTTTTGGCGTTTGTGCGTTATTAATAACGTTTGCGTTCCTTTATCATTTCCTCCAGGGTTTATCGCATTTATCATCATAATTGATCGCATTTATCATCATAATTATGCTTTGTAAATTGGGCGAGCAAATCTAAAATAAAATTGATTTCAAACGACGCCTTGAAATTTTCAAAGCTATAAGAGGAAAACGTCTGAAAATCACAAGATTAAGTAAGAATTTCTACAACTACAAAAATTACGTGAAGGTAACGTTTGAGAACAACAAAATAAGACATAGATTGTCAAATTGTTGTTCTCACGTTATGCACATTACGTGAGTAATATGAATATATAATCTTGGATGTTCATGATATCAAGACTACCATTTATTAATTCAAAGACTTAATTGCTGACATCTTTCGAAGTTTCGTTACTGTCATGTATCTATAGGTAAATTTAGTGAAAATATTAATGCAAAACATGAAGCTCAAATTATACTGAGCGTCAACCAATTGATCCTTATCTTGACAACGACAGCTCTGGTTGCCAGGAGACTACACTACGATATCTCTATTATAATTAATGAGGGAGATAGCGAGCATACTTTTCTCTAGCGAAACTCCGAGATCCGCGTTCAGAGAAAATATTTTATTATTATTAATATTTTTCATTATTATTAAATGATTATAAAAATTAGATATTGTTTCCTTAAACAATACGACAATGGTAGACATGATGTCTGAAGTAATATTTACCAAAATATTTTGTCTTGGGATAGAAAAAAAGGCTTGTTAAGTTCAAATATTCTGTCTGGTACTGGCGCGTGCATATTTATTTTCTTTTGAAGATCTCTTTTTTCAGTCTTCAATTAGAACAACGTAAGCCTTTAAAGTCGAGAGCTTTCAATAACAGTAAACAAAAAGAAAGGAATTCCCGCTTACTAAAAAACTATTCATGATAACCGCTTCTATATATATCTATAATCCAAGCAATATATTTTAATATATGAAGATCAATCGCAGTGAGTTTAGTCTATATTTGAGCTGGTAACTTCGCTGGTTGTTTACAGAGGCAGGTGAAAAGAGTTAGTGAAGCACTCGAAAGTGTTTGTGATGGCCTAGGTGTTGTTTGTTGATGGCATGACTGCAATAGCGGCTGAGAATGTGGGGCGAGTTGAGGGGTAACTCATCTAGTGAACGAGACGTCTCGTTAACCTAACCTAACCTAACCTAACCTAACCTAACCTAACCTAAGCTAACCTAACCTAACCTAACCTAACCTAACCTAACCTAACCTAACCTAACCTAACCTAAGCTAACCTAACCTAACCTAACCTAACTTAACCTAACCTAACCTAATCTAACCTAACCTAACCTAACCTAACCTAACCTAACCTAACCTAACCTAACCAAACCTAACCTAACCTAATCTAACCTAACCTAACCTAACCTAACCTAACCTAACCTAACCTAACCTAACCAAACCTAACCTAACCTAATCTAACCTAACCTAACCTAACCTAACCTAAATGCACGTGTGTCGGCAAGTTGCTTGTTTTTGGAAGTTGTTTTAACTCGTGACGAACGATTGACCACATTATTCTATATTTCACATAAAAGAGTCTCAAAAACTTGAAGAAAGGAAATATGCAATTTGGTTTCTGAAATTTAAAAAATTGTAAAAAAATTGTGTGTTATTGTTCAGTTGCTGTTTTTAGAAGATTAACAATTTAAGATTATTTGAAGATTATTGAGGATAATCCTGAGTTAAATTGTTTACCACCTAATTCCACATTTAACATATAACAGTCGCAAAAACTTTAAAATATGAAAGATGCATTTTGGTTTATAAAAATCAAAATAATTGTAAAAAAATTACGTACTTTTATTCAGTTGCTGTTTTGAGAAGATTAACGATTTAAAATTATTTGAAGATTATTTAGGATAATCTTTCTGTTAAAATTATTTAAGGATTATTTGGGGATTCTTTTTATATTACCGTGATTTGAGAATTAATGATTACATGTGCGAATCACGATAACATGAAAGTTCTTAGATGACAGTTTTGAAATTGTAAATTAGTAGATAAATGAGGGAGTCAGTGAACTTCTACGTCTTACTTAACGGGAGCGGCATGAATTTTTTTTTAGTTTAATGCAAACATAATGCAAAAGTTATTTATGAATAAATTTCATCATAAACTTGAATTGAAAGAATGAACCATTCTGCCAAGCGACTCCTTGTATGTGAGCAATTTTAAATCTTATCAGAACCGAAGGATTGGTGCACTAAAAAATCGTTATCTTGCTTTGAACATTTAATTGTTTAAAGTAAACATTTGTAGAAATCTCAGTTCCTTTATAAATTTCTGGGCAAGTTTAATTACCTGAATTACCTGACCGACAAGATAAACACGAGTTAGTTGCCAAAATCTGAGCAGCAATTGTTATTAGAGAGGAAATTGCGACCACGATTAATTACTTTAAGTATATTTGTTTTCTACCTGACATGCATTGTAGACAAACCCGTCTCTGCTGTCACACATAATTAATGCGTCTTTTGTTTCAGTTTTTATACCCGCAATGTGGCGAGTTATTATTTATACCAGCAATGTGGCGANTGACTCATGTCAGCTGGCAGAGAGGGAAGAGTGGGGCATCTCTGACATACTCAGCGTGACTCATGTCAGCTGGCAGAGAGGGAAGAGTGGGGCATCTCTGACATACTCAGCGTGACTCATGTCAGCTGGCAGAGAGGGAAGAGTGGGGCATCTCTGACATACTCAGGGTGACTCATGTCAGCTGGCAGAGAGGGAAGAGTGGGGCATCTCTGACATACTCAGCGTGACTCATGTCAGCTGGCAGAGAGGGAAGAGTGGGGAATCTCTGACATACTCAGCGTGACTCATGTCAGCTGGCAGAGAGGGAAGAGTGGGCGGCCTTGAGTGGTATTTTTTAGCGTTGGCGGAGAAGGCGCGTCGAATGCCATTGCCACGTTCAGTAAAATTGTGTTAATTAGATTATTGCTGGTTAAATGTCGTCATCTCATGAGATATTCATTATTTAGGTACGATTTCTTTTTGCAATCATACTATCGATGAATATTAACAGGGAAAAAGAGAAATTGAATATTCGCTGACTAAATTTTTTTACATTTCTCCTTCCTACAATTAATTTGTTTAAAATTTAATTCAAATTCAAAACTACTCAAATTTCAAGCCCCTGAACAATATCGCCAATCTATTAATCAAACCGAATTGCTAAATTTGTATACAGAAAAACTTTCGAAAAAACTACGACTCAAATTAATTTAAATTATATTTTGATCGACTGGAAATAACGAAAATGAAGTGATTACAGATCGACTTCATAAAAATGCAAACTCCAATTTGCAGAAGTCACTGTTGATTTTCGCTCATTCAATTACCGCTTCTTTCCATCCCAATCGTAAATTAACCATTTAGTACGTGTTATAATTATTATTATTTAGTACCTGATGTTATTATTTGATGTGTAGTATTACTATTTTTCTCAAAATTGCTTTGTCATGGCGTTTCGTTAAACTGAACTTCGAGGGCATGTAATGCATGGTAAACGTACCGTGAGCAGAACTGAGGCTTCTAGGAGATATTTATACGATTATAATACAATATTTTAACTAATTTTTTAATCTTACCTCTTGATGACATGAGGTGGTGATAATTTATTTATTTTGAAAGTCCGTTTTCGAATGTGTCTTGTTTCAAAATACTTTGCCAACTCTGGGCTCAGCGTATCAGTATTTTAAATAAAGTTTTTCCAGATTAAGAAACAAATTGAAAAAATATACTA